CACACACACACACACACACACACACACACACACACACACACACACAAGGAGAGGAAGTAATGTCATAATGAACTGTATTAGATAGCTTCATGTTTGCTGACGCCCCCTAAGAGAATGAATGATAAAGACACAGAAATGATGGAAGGCGATAGCGAAACACCCAAAAAATATAATGGAGTTTATGTTTTAAATCTTTTTTTTTGTCTTCCTGCATTAGGTTGACCAGGGTTTCAGTGAGCGAGTTAATAGCCCTGATMGGCAGTTTTATACATTAATCTTCTTTTATGTGCTGCCTCCCTCKGACTGATGCTCCTTCTTGACAAATGAGTCCAGCACAGATTTTTTTACAACCATTCGTGTCTCTTTCAATCAAGGGATTCATCTGGCAGTCCATTTAGGAGCTGGATTGAATACGTATCTCAGATATTCCCAATTTAAATCTCACAAGCCAAAAACTAATATATCCATATCCACACAATATTGTCCTCCTCTGGGGACAAATGGGAACACATTTGTTATTCATGTGGACAGATTTCTCATTGCACATCATGACAGTTCAGTAGGAAGTACTGAGAAATCCTAATTGCGTGAATGCTTTTTATGGCATTCACACAACTGAGATCATTCTGGATGGTTTTTGGCACCCATCTCCTTCCCCCAGTTTTTCTGCTATTTCAAAAATTTCTACATCAAAATGTTCAGCTCCTTCAGAACACTCCGGTGATAACTTTTGGTATTTATTATATTTAGCCTTTTTGGACTTTTTTTTCTAACATTCATACAATCCTTTAGCATTTTTATAAACCTTTATTGTACTTTTCATTTTTTGTCATAGTTATGTATTTTTTTTACTTCTTTGTGCTCATTTCAGCTTCCTTTAGCTTCTTTGTTAATTTTAGCTTTTCTGCTTTTTCAGCTATCTTCAGGATCTTTTCAGTTATTCTGCTGATTTAAACTGTTTTTTGTACTTCTATCAGCTTCTTTCTGCTCATTTAGGCTTCAAGTGCACTTTCAGCTGTTTTTTTTGCAATCCAAGCTATTTTTTAACTAAGCTAATTTCACATTTTTTGTGATAATTTCAGCTTCTTATTGTTTAATTCAGCTCTTTCTGCTTCTTTGGGCACTTTTTAAAGCTACTTTTCTGCTTATTTTAACTTTTTTGGATATTTTACAAGCTGCAAAATTTTTGAACATCTTTTTTTCTGCAAAAATCTTTCAGAATCAAGCATTCATGCTGCATTTTTGCAGCAAAGGCTAATTCTCTTTTATAGTTCTGCAGACATTATATTAGTTTTCATTAAATCAATTTTAGGTTAAAGTGATGTGATTATCTAAATAAATTAATCTAATATCTCGCTTGTTCTGAAAACAGTACCAACAAAAATGACTCATCAGGGGAAAAAAATAAAAGCTTACCTGAGTTCCATCCAGTGGGTCTTTCTGAACAAAGGCTTGGACAAACTCCTCCGGCCCAATATGGCTTAAATGTTCCTGGAAAACCATCAAGCTAATGATTTATGGTTTCACAGCAAATTCATCCTCATTTGCCACAGCAATTATTTACCGTTTTATCAAATCTTTACCACAGAAATTTAAGATATACCTCAATTAAATTATTATTTTTTGTTAAACTATAGTATACAAACACATTTGTATCTTTATACAACACATGCATTATAAGAACGAACAAACACACACACACACACACACACACACACACACACACACACACACACACACACACACACACACACACACACACACACACACACACACACGAGCAGTCCCTTTTAATAACTCTTTCATTTCAGTAATGGAGGCCAGTCAATACAGGGAAGTAATGACTCACTGATGTGACTCACTGGTGTCATATTTCCACAAAGTGACACTTGAGACAATATTCGCTTCTATTAAAAGACAGCAGCCGAGTCGCAAACACGTGCAAATCAAACTGACTCGATGGACCCATCACACCTCCAGATAAAATACAAATCTGATACAAAAACATGGAATCAGACAGCAGCAGGACAACCATTACTCAGTACCGACGGGTTGCTAAAACCTATAAAAGACATTAAACAAAATGTGGAATGTGTGAACTGCGCATGCATGTCTGTCTCTCCCCGTGTGTGTGTGTGTGTGTGTGTGTGTGTGTGTGTGTGTGTGTGTGTGTGTGTGTGTAAATACAAAGCTGTCAAGTCATATAAATCCACAGCAGTTTTATCCTCTTTGTTTGCAGCCTCGGGCACATTGCTGACTTCTGGGGTGATGTCACAGCTCAGACAAGAGGACAGGCTTACTCAGGCGTGCTCAAAAACTGCACGCACAGACACACAACGACCCTCACAAACACGTGACCACATCCAGACACACATGAACTGGCTAAAAAAGCACCATGCATGATCTGCGTGGGATGCTACAGAGACCCTTTTTGTGTGTGTGTTTAGCTGAATTCATTCTTTTGTTCTTCATTTTATTGCAATGGGTGAACTGTTGATGCAGTTATCACTTGATGTGGATTCAATCTCCACTCAGGTTTCATTGTTCTTCGCACCTTGACACTCCCCCAACACACACCCCTCCCATTTTTTTTTACCCCCATCCTTGTTATCGCCTCCTATCCTGACCTCCGTCTAACCCCTGCACCGATCCCCCCTCCTCCCTCCGGACTCACCAGCTCCACGTGGGTGAGCTGCTGTGCCAGCGTGTAGGGGTCGTTGCAGATGCAGAAAATGTCCTTCTGTATGGGCGGAGGCTTGGTCTTGAAAGCCACGAGCTTGTCYGAGATGGAGGAAGCGTTGAGGGAGACCTTGACGATGCTCTCCTCCCCCTGGCTCATCAGGGCCAGCCTCTGGCTCAGCTTCTGCAGCATCTGGTTCAGGGTTTTCCAGTAGGCCTGGAGCAGGGAGAGGAAGAGGGCGAGCTATCAATAACATCTTTGATGAATAATTTATTAATGGCCTGTAGATTGGTGATAGACATGAATCAGAAGAGAATGAGGGCTGCCAGGTTGTGTTGTTGCTAAAACAAAAAGGGTTACATGCTGCTATGTCCCCGAATTATTTTTTACTAAACAAAGTATTTTAATTCACTTTAACATGAGTATTTACACTAATTCTCAAATCCATCACAATTTAAGGCTACGTGTATTATTTTCTTATTTCATGACATTCATCAACAAGATATGGCAAATTTATACTTCTACAAAAAATAAAACAAGTAAAATAATAACGATGGATTCAATTTATAGGGCACTTTAAATTAGTAAAACTCAAAGTAATACATTTCAAAAGTCCTAAAAACAATAAATAATAATAATAATAATAATCTCTAAAATCAGTTATCACCAGAACTAACAATTGATTCAACAATAATAATAATGAGGTAGAGCTAAGTCCCAACAATGATATGAATTGGGTAAATTATAAAATAGAATTTAAGGACAATGTAAAAACAAAAAATGATATAAACAATGTAAGTTAGGACACTCTTTATTTCTAACTCTATTTTTGACARCTGAAAAATCACTTACTTTTTATACACCTTAAGTTGAATAAAATTTGTATAAATGGCATTTCTACATTTACTTTCAAAAACACACTTTTGTTTCTTGTTTCAAAATAAGTTTTGTTTTGTTGTCATAGAGATTGCAGATAAACCACTGGGAGTTTCTCAATATTTTCCCATTCTGAACTTTTTTGGGTGGGCCAGAGAAACATTAATCGATGACACATTGGGAGATGTTATAAAACACTAAAGTACATGTGCAGCTACATGGTTCKCAGTGTGGAGCGCGCAGCAGAGCGGAGCGTTGTTGCATCACAGCAGGAAGGTTTTACGTTTGTTTGTTCCAGTTTCGTCCCACAGTCCAAAAACACATGCGTGTTCGGTTCATTTGCTAAGTCTAAATTAGTCCCTAGGTGTGAGRGAGCGTGTGAATGGAAAAACACAAAGGTTTGCGTCTTGTTGCAGTATTGTGTTTTGCAGCTGTGTGTCTCTGTGCCCCACCCTCCAGATGACTGTTCTCAGAGACCACTGGGTCAGTCTGCCTCACGTATGACCCAGAGCCGCAGCTCCCACAGTTCTCCACATGTTCTCACAGACAACCAGCTGCAAATAGCAGCACATACATCACRGCCTATCCTCCCTACACTTTGCTCCATTTTCACTACCCCTCTGCCCAGATTTCATCACCCCCTCCTTCTCCTTCACCTTTTCTTCCTCCCATCCGCCGGCTTTCTCCATTCATCTCCCTCTATTATCCCTCGAGGCTGCTAATAGACCTCTAACATCCTTCCTTCCTCCCTCTACTGCATTGTAAGGTTGTATAACAGCTGGGCTGTGGCTACTCAGCCTATGCTGACACTCTGACTCTGTTCAGCACCCACTACAGAGGCAGTGATGAGAATAAATTATCATTTCTAACCACATCTGTCTTATAATACAGCCTTTTCTTCATTCAGATTTGTCGAACTCAGATGCTTGGGAAGAGGTTCTTGATGTTACTTTTTAATGCCCTGTTTTTTGACAAGCAGTGAAGTCACAAATCTTAATACYTCAGGCGTAATCCCCTGGGGATAAAGACCCCCTGAGGGTAGACTTAGGGATTCGGGAACTCAGGTCTCCTGATTGGAGCACAAGTGAATATTTCTTACAGCCAAATGCCAAAGCTTAATATTGTCAATCATTGTCGCTGTACCAAAAAGAAGAAAAAGAAGCTGCAGATCAGTTTGCTGCGTATCAAAAATTGACACACTGCCAGCCAAAAAACGCCAGCCTAAGCATCTGAAAATGTGCAGAAAAAAGGTAAAAAGTGCAGCAAAAAGTGCCGACTCTCTGAGTAAGTGGTCTTTTTAGGCCAATATCTTTCTAATAATGGAAAGCATTGCCGTTGTGGATGAAAATCAGGGTGCCAATGCAGCTACTGCCAACTTTGTAATCATCTAAACTAAAAACAAATGACTGTATATGATTGGATATGTGAAAACTTGGCTGTGCACTCRGCATTCTGGAAGGATGTGAGAGAAATCTGTAAATCCTACAGGAGCAAGCGACACGCTGGGTGACAGAAGACAAAAATACCTATGGTTTGAGGTYTAACGAGCATAAAAGCATTGAGAGTTAGAAGAGTTCATTTGTTAAAATTTACATTTTTAAGCAGATGTGAGCACGTGACATCATCAACTCTCAGTTGAACATTCTGTGGAGAAAACATCAAAAAATTCACAAAGTTTAAACTGCAAAAAGTGTAAGATATCAAAATACCAGTTCAGAATTGTAAAGCATTTGTTTTGTGACCCGTCAAACCTGTCGTTTTTARTGTAAATGCCTGAGCTGAGGGCTGGGTTGTCAACTGTTCCACTAAAATCCCATTGATCTCTAGTCATTTTTTTGCAAATGTTGTGCACATTATGTGATGTACTACTACCAAAAACACACAACAATGAAGCCCCACAAAGTTGTTTCATCYTTTCTCGTTCTTGTGCGCTTTTGTTTTATTCTTACCGCGTTACGATACCACCCCTTTTTTAGACTGCAGCTAATATTCACGTATTTTTCAGAATTTGCAAGTACCCAAAGAACARAACACTCACAAAACTCAGGTATTCTCCATTGAGCTGCATGCTTTGATGCAAATGTTTGACAGYACATATTAAAGTTGCTGCAATTCTTATTCATCAACCTCCTCCTGAGGGTTCCTGTGAGTGTACCTCGTCACACGGAGCTATCCTGCGGATGATGTCTTTCAGGTGTCCGACCATCTTCTCATCTCTYAAATCTGACGGGAACGTCTCTGTCCATTCTGTCAGCAGCTGCAGGATCTTGGGACCAAACTTGCGAACTTTAACCTGTTGTTTAACAAACACGAAAGTTTAACAACTTCTTGCATCGGCAAAAAAAAAAAAAAAAAAAAGCTGACACACAAATCATAATCATGACTGAATGCTTTTGATGTTTCTGTTCATTATCAGGGCCGGGAACATGCATTTATATGCGGTGCAGTGCTGACCGTATCGAGTGGGCTCTGGTCCAGCTGCTGCTGCTTGATGCACAGCTCACACACCCTGGCGAGCAGCTCCGGAGGAGGAATGAACAGACGGGCGCTCAGCAAGAAGGTAAACACATAGGCTTTCTGTCAAAAAGGTCAGGAAGAGACGTTTAGTCACACGTTCCCACTGCATCAACAGAAAAACACTGCTGTTGAGCGGAATTAAAGAAAGCAGGAAACACTTCAGACAGAGACCTGAGGCCACTGATGGAACTGAGAGAGCTGACTCGGCGAATTTACGCCTAAATGGACTTTCTGAGGCTGATAGAGCTTAAAATACACTCAAAAAACAGATTGTTGGATTAAACCAAGTTATGTCAACAATTTCCACTCAATTGAGTTGAGTAAGTGTGAAAAAACTTACACTTTTATGRTAAAAGAAAATGTGAAAGTTGCTTTATACTTACTCGAGTGGAAATTGTTGACACGTTTTGTTTAAAACAACYTCGTTTTTTTTGAGTGTAGGTGCAGTAGTTCTGATCATATATTCTTTTTCTGGAGTTTTTAGTTTTTCATTAAGCACAAATTTCGTAGACTTTTTCTCTCCACAGTTTTCTGGAAAAAAAATTGCAGAAAAGTGGACGAGGAAACATTATGGACATAAGGCACAGGTAAAACAGGAAAAAAAAGAAAAGAGCACCAGAGTTTTTTTTTATGACTTTCGGTGAACACTGAACATTTTACTGAGACAAACTGCACAATAAACTTTTAGCAGTGAGTTTCTGTTACAGGAAGTTCAAATAGAGTTCGTCTGTGTCACCTGTCAGACATGTGATGTCATCAACTGTTGCCAGGCAACAAATACAACTCCCCATTCTTTGAATGTCATTCTAGAAAGTTCAGTCATGCCTCACTTTATTTATTTTTACTAAACTTTCCATCAGTTTGTCATCTGACTCCTGTTTATTTACCTCATTGCTTAATTTGTTGTATTTGTCTTGACTAACTGCATATTCAYCCATTTAATTTCCTCAGAGTTTATTAAATTAACATTCAGTTTAATTTGGCAGTGTTCATGAGTTTTAATGACAGCGACACGTTCCAGTTTACCTCAGGGTAGTAGTCTGCAGTGGGCACCAGGTTCTGGATGAGGGTGTCCAGGGAGGCAGAGGTGAACGGGGTCCCATCTGCCAGGCTAGCCCCGGTCCCTGGGCCTTCCTGCGGGGCCTCCTCCTCCTCCCCTCCAGGTTCAGCACAGGCCAGATGAGGGCTGAAGCCACTGGGAGTGGTAAACATGGTGCCTGAGCACACAGTCTGGGGCATTCCTGACTACAACAAAAACACAGAAAAAAAAAAAGAAAGTGTGAGAAGGACAGAACCAGTAAGAGGAATTAAGTCTGTTTGTTTTGAGGGGAAATGAGCTGAATGCAAATGTTCCTGTTTGAGTTCTCCACATCTACTTTCCTATTAACAGCCATGTACAGTAAATAAAACTGTTTATGACGGTTCAACTGCCGTGCACACAGTTGGATCCGTTCAGCGGTTCCTCCAAAAGAGTAAACGCGATGACTGAAGATGAGCTTCATTTCATGCTTTACTAAACACGRACAACTCTTTTTAGGAAAACAGCAGCGTCTGATGGGTTCTGGTGCTGCATGCAGCTCTGTTCCTGTCCGATTGTTAATCTTTATTATAGCAGGAGAACTCTTGCATAACCAATGATTATACTGTAAACATGAGTGAAACAGCTGGATAGCACAAATATTGATTCATACTCTCATGTCGTCATTGTGCTCTTTTGCTCCRTTTCTTTGCAATGATTTAAGATGCTGATACAGAATATTGTGCTCCTTCTCATTTTTTTAGTTTGTTTTTAATTTACTTTAATTTATATCCAGAATCAACATTTCAGATATTTCAAATGTCATATTTTTCCAGGACAAACATTGTCATGTTCATCATTAATGATCTCTGAGCTCTAAATATCTACCAATATATATTTATTATTTTACTGCCTAAAATGAACATTTTGTATTAATTAAATGTGTTTACATGAACAACCCAGTTGTTAAAAGTTATTTAAATGTTTAACTTTTCTTTTTAATAAAAAGGCCTCATTCATAATGTCTGAAATATCTTTGTAGATATGACTATATTTATGCAAAACACAATGTTTATGGGCTACAATGATTTATGGATATTCAAAATTATCACTTTAGGTAGAATAAATGTAACATGGATAGGACAAAATGCCTTTTTTATAGCTAACATTTTTTTAACTTATAAGATTTGAATTTTTAAAATCTACTTTAAAAAACTATTATTTGATTAATTGGCTTGCCATACTTCCTGAAGTAGGGTGCCTATGTAGTTTTTTATTTATGTCAAAGTTAAAAT